AAGTGGTCCAGTTTTCCCACTATCACTTATTGAAGAGACCATCTTTTCCCCACTATATATTCTTGCCTCCTTTGTTGTATATTAATTAACCCATATAAGCATGGGTTTAACTATGGGCTCTCTAAGGGCACCTGGGTGGCTCAGTTGGTTAAGCATCAGACTCTTGATTTCACCTCAGGTCATGATCTCATGGTTTGTGAGTTTGAGCCCCATGTTGGGCTCTGCACTGACCATGCAGAAACTGCTTGGGACTCTCTGTCTCCTTCTCTCTCTGTACCCTTCCCCTGCTCGCTCACTTGCTTTCAAAATATTTCAAAAAAGAAAGAATTATGGGCTCTGTGTTCAGGTGCTTAACTGACTGAGCCACCCGGGTGCCCCTGTTTATCTTTTTAAACAACAGCCCTTAGTTTCACTGGTATTTTCCTGTTTTTAAGTCTTTATTTCATTTATTCCACTCTGATCTTTATTATTTCCTTCTTTTAACTTTAGGCTTTGTTCTTTTTCTAGTTCCTTTGGGTGTAAGGTTAGATTGAGATTTTTCTTGTTTCTTGAGGTAGCACTGTATCTCTGTCAATTTCTCTTAGAACTACTTTCGCTGCATCGCAAAGATTTTGGACCATTGTGTTTTCATTTTTGTCTCCATGTATTTTTTTAATGTTTGTTTATTTTTGAGAGAGAAAGTCAGAGCATGAGCAGGGGAGAGACAGAGAGGGAGACCCAGAATCCAAAGCAGGCTCCAGGCTCTGAGCTGTCAGCACAGAGTCGGACGCGGGGCTCGAACTCATAAACCGTGAGATCATAACCTGAGCTGAAGTTGGATGCTCAACCAACTGAGCCACCCAGGTGCCCTGTCTCCATGTATTTTTAAATTTTGTCTGATTTCTTTGTTAACCCACTGGTTGTTTAGTAGCATGTTGTTTATCCTCCGTGTGTGGGTTTTTCCAGTTCTTTCTTTTAATTGATTTTTAGTTTCTTATTGTTGGGAAAAATGTCTGATGTGATTTCAGTCTTCTTAAATATAGAGATTTGTTTTGTGGTCTAACAGGTGATCAATCTTGGAGAATGTTCCAGCTGGTGTAATGTGCCATTCAAAGACAGTTTCCTTATTGATTTTCTGCCTGGATGGTCTATCCATTGATGTAATTGTTGGGGTATTAGTCACCTACTATTACCGTATTACTGTCAGTTGTGTTCTTTATGTCTGTTAGTATTTATGTCTTTATGTATTTAGATGCTACAATGTTGGGTGTA